AATACGAAAAGTTGATTATTTTGTCTGCTTCTGTGGTCCATTACTTTTGTTTTATTTGATAAACCTTCATTCCCTCCCTTCAGTTGAAATGTAGTTTAGTGTCCCAATCTTTATTTTTATTTATTTATTTATTTATCATCAAATATCACTAGTCTTATGTTTGCTATGCATATAGGGAAACTTGGGTTTGGACAGGAACACAAACGTGCCATACAAACATAACACAACAGATTCTTATCTGTTCTTCTTTTTTAAAAAACTTTCTTAAAGTTAGTCAAGTTTTTTTAAAAAACTGATCTATAGTTGAAAATGTATTTTTAAACCTATTATCTCTCATCAGTATTTGCATACATATTTTCCTAGCTCTATAACTCTAAGTGAACACCTAGTTGGTAAACATGAATACTATTACTGGTAATGGTTAGTACATGATCGATATCATAGTGTAATAGGGAAGTAAAGACCAACAGGATAATTAATCTTTTGTCCAAAACAGAACAACAGAGTCACCCATTTCTGGAGCATGTAAGTATAATTAAATGTACTGCAGATGGGTTTATTCATCTCCTACCACCACTATTTTGCTGTGTTGCTCTATACTTCTAAGTTGTGTTTCACCCTTGAGGCATTTCCATTAAGTCTATTTCCCAGGGTAATAGACAAATTTCTCATTTACTTGATGCATAAATAGTAAAACATGTACAAATAGTCATATAATTGGGCAGATAATCTAAAAACTATTGATGGAAGAAGAGCAAACAAAGTAAACAGAGAACCACATAGCAAAGATAGTAAGTTAGTACTACATATAAGCTGTAATAATAATGAATTACTGTGTATTTGGGACATTTTCTTTTCTTTTTTGCAGTCTGAGTTTAGATGTAGCATTGCTTATTTTCCATTTTGTAGAATCTCAAAGTGTGATGTTTGTCTTTTTTTAAATGTAGATTATATTTGTTTTAAAATATGCATTTTTTTCCTCCAATCTAGCAGTATCTTTCAGTCTGGTGTCTACCTATTGAGTAATTAAAGATATTAAATGCAACAATAGTAATAATATTGAAACAAATGGTGATAGATACTTTTCCTGAATTAGAGACAAGTAAGGCATGTTATAGCATTCTTCCAGACTATATGGGACTTATAGTATTTAATTATTCTGTAATTATCAGGTTCACACACACACACACACACACACACACACACACAAAGTCTGCCAAGGTTTCAGTTAAGGAGTAAGCAATCTTGGGGTCTTTGGAGTCTTTGTTAGTTAATATGAGTAGTGGTGAAAGATTGTCATCCTAAACCTGCAGATGACATCAGAAAGTATATCAAAGTGAAAAGTTGTGCAGATGCTATGCTATGATGTGTCTATACTACAAAGATCAGAATAGTGAAGGCAACAGAACATTTCAATTTTTCTTATTGTGGATCAGTTCAGTTATTTTGTTGCTTTCTGATTTTAATTGTAATGAGAGAGTAGTTATAAATGGAACCTAAAAAATGGAGCCATTTTTTAATTATTATTTCAAAGACAGATTAACATTTTTACTTATTCAAAGATGAATATTTATTATTTATTGATTTATTCATCATATTTATATAGCTGCCCATCTCATACAAGGTGACTCTGGGTGGCATACAGCAATTAAAAAAAATAAATACATAAAAACAACTATATATATAAAAAACAGTGAAAACGCACAAATTGTTTATTCAATGAATATGCATGGAAGACGTTGTCATACTGAAGCATGAAGGTACAAAGTGAGCATTATGAGTTGTCAATGTTCAAAGAGAAACAGTTCTTCTTCAAAAAGTGGTTCAAACAGTACTTTTAATCATTTCCCCTTCTTTATCCAGATGCTATATTCATCTTAGTAATGAGTAAGAAACCCTCAGTGGGTAACCAGACCTCCATACCTACGTTCCTGCTTCTGGAATTCTCAGCAATTTGGGAACTTCAGATTCTACACTTCTTTGTATTTCTAGCCTTCTACTTGGCAACTGCAACAGCAAATCTTCTCATCATCTCAGCTGTGGCTTTTGACCACTATCTGCACACTCCCATGTACTTTTTTCTGATGAACTTGGCCATGCTGGATCTTGCTTCTGTTTCAGTCATTATGCCTAAATCCATGGCAAATTCCCTCATGAATACCAGATGCATTTCTTATTCTGGGTGTGTTTCCCAAGCTTTTCTGTTTGTTTCTTTTTTGACATCTGACTTCTTCCTTCTCACAGTCATGGCATATGACCGATATGTTGCCATTTGCAATCCCTTGCAGTATGAGATGGTGATGAATAGGAGAACATGTGCTCAGATGCTTGCTAGTGTATGGATCAGTGGTTTTTTCTTTGGAATCCTGCACACTATTGGCACATTTACAGTTCCTTTTTGCTCTAATATTGTCAATCAGTTCTTCTGTGAGATCCCACAATTATTAAAGCTCACTTGCTTAGACCTCAATCAAGGTGAAGTTGGAATTCTTGCATGCAGTATTACTATAGTATTAGGTTTATTTATCTTCATTTTGGTAAGTTACGTAAAGATCTTGAGTGCGGTGTTCAGAATACCATCTGCCCAGGGAAGACAAAAGGCCTTGTCCACTTGTCTTCCCCATCTCATTGTTGTCTCTGTGTTAATGTTCACAGGAATACTCACTTACATGAAGCTTCCCTCAAATGTCCCATCTGATTTGGATATGATGCTGACTATTACATATTCCCTCGTCCCACCGATTTTAAATCCAATAGTTTACAGCATGAGAAACAAAGACATTAAGAAAGCCCTGTTCAAACTATTAGGTCCAAGGTTTTGTTCTAAGCATGCTTTTTCTACCTCTCCTTCCTAGATTTGGATTTGGGATCTGCTTTAACTGATTTTGATGGTGAGAGAGAAAAATGTTTTGTTGGAATTATAGACAAGATAAAAGAAAAAAAATATTATTTCACTCCAGATAATCATGGACTTAATGTCTAGAGAGGGTGGAAAGATCAGACTCTTAAATATGTCTTCATTAACATGATCAGAGGTAGGATTCCAAAACTGAATCTGCCTTACATTTGTTACTTCACTATCCACTTTGTACTTAGTGCTGTATGGAGATAATAACACCTATCACTAGATTCTTCACTTGTTCGCAGGATTGGGAAGTTATGCCCATATTACTTAGCAATCAATCCATCAGTATCAATAAGACATACTATTTGTATGCTATTTATATAGTGTATATTTTATGAATGTGGAAATTGTTGTTTAGTCTTGGACTGTAAAGATAATGAAGTAAGTAGAAATATTATATGTTTTCTTCCCCCTTTTCTCTTTTTTCTACCTCTTCTTCTGATTTAAAGACTAGTGGAACATGAGAGGTGAAAAATTATGTTTCTTTTAGGAGGGTTTTGGTAAAAGTTGAGATAAAAAGTGGAGTTAATTGCATCACCAAATATGGAAGTTTGTGGCAACATTTGGGCCTATAAAAATGCAGATTTTTTTTTAGGGGTTGTTATGGATAATGTTATGCCATGGAGAAAATCTATCTATGTGGTTGCTCGGAGTTGAAAACAACCTGATAGCACACAATAATCAATCAATCAATCAATGGGTAATCTTGGTGAGACAGAAAATATTTGCTGTTTCCCACATTAAATCATTTACTTATCTCTCATTAAGCATTTTATAGAAAGTTTTGAAATAATAGCTTCTCCCTTCTGTTATTAATTTCCTACTTCTCTCTCTCTCTTTTTTTAAATTTCTACCTAGCTCTGTATTGTGAAATATATAATGTTGAAACAGAAGCCGGGGTTTCCAAAAGCTTTACAGAGGCACAACAATAATGGTAAAAATTAATTATTAGGACTATTTTCTTCCAGAGAGTTTTGTCCCACCAAAAGAAAAGATATAGCCATTTTCAAAATATATTTCAATTTTTGATCTTAGCGATAAAAATCTCCCAATTTCTATTATAATGTAATTAATAATAAAAATATCTAAATTAATTACCAATAAAATAAATATAGGTTTACCATATAACATTGTCTGATAATATGTGTGATGTAAGGAGAGCCATCAGCCCAGGGATCCATTTGAAGAAGTAAAGCGGAACACAAACATGGTTATTGTACAGCCTTTACAAAACAGGTTCCTAAGGATCATTCTCTGCTTTAATCTTTGGAAATTTAACTGTCTAGTGTCAAGAAGTCAGTGAAAATACACACACACACACACACAGGATGCAGGCTAATTTAGCATTATAAGGGGCTTCCAGCCAAGATGGATTGTCCTTCAGGACAGACAATTTTATGATTTCTCATTTAACTATTACATGTGATACCTTTATACTTGTATCATAGTTGGTTATTTTATGAACATTCCATTGTCACTGGTCCCAAAGTTTACCCATGTCTTCATTTTTGTCCTGTTATTTCCTCCTAACTACATGTTTCCTTCATATTACCACCTTGCATATCACTTTGGATTGTTTGATAGTGGCTATAAAAACAAAGCTTTTACTTATAAATTAATAAGTTTGAGTTTTTTAATGTTTTATGTAATACCTACCAATTTATTTTCTTTCTTAAACTATTTAATTGTATGTTAACTTTTTTAAAATTATATTTGTGCTAGCCGGGTCTTTTGACCATAAATGAATAGTATTATTATAACAGAATACTGAAAAAAATGCTTGAGAAATAATTCAATTTTTGAAACTGTATTAAAAAGCTTCCAAATTTTCTTTTAATTTTTTATTAAAGTAATTTCCTACTCTGAATGTAAGCCTACCTATACATAGTAAATGCAATTGGAAAAATGATTGAATTGATTGATTGAATTCAGTTATCTATCTTCTTTAATGTCTTCTTTCAATGACGCTAAGAACTCTGATGTAGGAAGCAGGTGCCTTTATAGTAGGCAATGAGCTGACAAACAGGTGGATGTCAAGTTTAAGTGTCCTGCTCAAATGCTATGTTTTAATGCATCCCTATCTGTCAGATTCAGCCCAAGAATCACATGAGAGAGTCCAGAAATCAGCTCAGATTCTTTATTAGCTTGCACCTAATAGACAGAATCTTGCCAGACTAACTCTGCTTCCCCAACGAGAGCAAATATAACCATCAAGCCCTTAGGGAGGGGCCAGTCTCTTCCTCCTTACTTTCACACAGTCCAGCCGGGGGCCAAGGAGATGTTTGGAATGTCACTCCCCCTCCCTGTAACCTTGAAGCTCCATTCTAGAATCATCCACACTCATGCCTTCCATCACACTAGTTGATACACCTTCTATACTGTATGACATAACATTAATCATGGGATTGTTCTGTAACTTTAAATATGTGCTCACTATTCATGTGCAGTTATTTAGATATCCAAAATAAGAAAACATGAAGATAATATTAGATTAGATTTAACAGGACAGACTTAACCATAGTTTCAACTGGGAAACAGCCAGCATCTTAGACCAAGCGAAATCCAAAAATGTGAGGGAATTCCTGGGAGCTTGGTATTCAGACAAGGCAGCCATCAATAGGCACATAGTGATAAACAACATCAACATCAATACATTATTCAAAAGAGACAATAAAAAAAGGAAACAAAAAGACCAGAACATCTCCTTGCCAGCAATTATCATCCAGATAAGCAGAGGTTAACACCAAGATTAACACCAGACAAACAACCAAGCAGTAAACAATACCCTAATCAAGAAACTACCAAGACAAAACAAAAACAAAAAAACAACCCCCCCTCCCAGCGC